TGCTCTGCAGTGCTGTGTCTCTGTGCTCTGCAGTGCTGTGTCTCACTGTGTCTCTCTCTCCAGCTGCTCAGGCCCCAGGCTGAAGCGTGTGGTGCTCAGGTGTGTCCCTGTCCTCTCCTGGCTGCCCCGTTACTCCTTCAGGGACTACGCCCTGGGGGACCTCGTCTCCGGGATCAGCGTGGGCATCATGCACCTGCCGCAGGGTGAGACTCTCCGTGAAGGGAGATTACCATGGTAACGTACATAGATTGAGAGGTACCCCAAAGGAGAAGCCTGAATGAGCTTGTATCACACATCAAGATCTGTAGATTTAAAGAAGAAAGGGAAGTCATGTTTCTTACCGTGTTGTTAGAGTTTAAGATGGAGTCTGAAGCAGCACTGTTCTTGCCCTGCAGGGATGGCCTACGCTCTCCTGGCCTCGGTGCCCCCTGTGTTCGGCCTGTACTCCTCCCTCTACCCCTTCCTGGTGTATTTCATCTTCGGGACATCCCGGCACATCTCGATAGGTGAGTCCCTGTCGCTGTGGCCCTAATGGCTGAAACTCCACTGATCAGCTCAGCACCTGGGCCAGGCCGGGCCGGGCCGGTTCTGTGCTTTGTGATGCAGTTCTCCGGTGTGTGTCCATACACAGGCACCTTTGCGGTGGTCAGCATTATGGTGGGCGGGGTGACGGAGCGCGTGGCTCCAGACCACGACTTCCTGGTAAACGGCACCAACGGGTCAGGCGTCATCGACATCGCGGCACGAGATGCTCAGAGGGTCCAGGTGGCCGTGGCGGCCACTGTCCTGGCTGGGATTTTCCAGGTACATCGAGCGAGGGAGTGAACCGCTGTCTGACAGCTTGACAGAGCCCAGCGCTTTCCCACGCCCTCGGCCTAGCCGGTAGGGTAGGATCTGCGTGTGAAGGGGTTCAGATCTCTGCACGCTGTGAAAGGGTTACAGTATGCTCTGTGCATGTTGAAGAAGAGAGAATAAGAGTGCTTAAATATATGACCAAAGATCTTCTAAACATGCCATTTATGGTAACTCAGGAAGGACATTTTGATGTATGAAAAATCCTTATAAATGCACGAATTCCAAGCATAACAGGAAAAGGTATACCATATCTGTATCCCTGTTTATGCTTTCCATAGGCCTTGTGATTTCCTCCACCCCTGCAATTCAAGGAACTGGGAATGGCTGGGAATCGATTAGTTATAAAATAAAAACATTTGTCCACTGTCCAATGAATATTTAATGGTCTGATGCATTGACTAATACCTGCTTAAACTACTACTTTTCTGATTTCCAATAGAAATGGAAAAAGAGAGCATGCATTGGATTAAATTGACAGTATCCTGGGCTGTGCCACAGGCACCCAGACTGTGGTTTAGTGTTCAGACATGTCTCCCTGTCTGCCTTCTGAAGCTCTTCCCTCTGTGCAGGTGGTTCTGGGTCTGGTGCGGTTCGGCTTCGTGGTGACCTACCTGTCCGAGCCTCTGGTCAGGGGGTACACCACAGCTGCTGCCACTTATGTTGTCATCACGCAGCTCAAATACATCTTCGGCATCCACCCCAAACGACACAGCGGCCCTCTAGCACTGGTGTATGTGAGTATCGGTACTCTCTCTCTCCTGGAGTAATGTCTTCAGTCTCTTCCTCACTCTCTCACTCTCTCACCCTGGTGTATGTGAGTATCAGTACTCTGTCTCAATTTCAATTCAATTCAAGGTGCTTTATTAGCATAGCCGATGGGTACAATCAGTGTTGCCAAAGCAAATAAAAATAATGAATTCACATGAAACAAAACAAAACATAAAAGTAAAATAAAATCTACAGACATTTACAACAAAGACATATCATAAAATATTTACATATACTGTAGACAGATGGAGCACTACTGGGAGACAGGCTCACTGTTTCTCAGGCTGTGACAGGAGATCACATACTGGGTTGACAGTTCAGCTGAGTTCCCTCCTCCCTCTCCCAGTAGGATTGGGAGTTGTTGCTCTCTCTGCTGGAGTAATGTCTTCAGTCTTTCTCACTCTCTCTCTCACCCTGGTGTATGTGAGTATCACTACTCTCTCTCTGCTGGAGTAATGTCTTCAGTCTATTTCTCACTCTCTCTCTCACCCTGGTGTGTGTGAGTATCAGTACTCTCTCTCTCTGCTGGAGTAATGTCTTCAGCCTCTTCCTCACTCTCTCTCTCACCCTGGTGTATGTGAGTATCAGTACTCTCTCTCTCTCTCTCTCTCTCTCTCTCTCTGCTGGAGTAATGTCTTCAGTCCCAGAGTTCTCTCCCTTTCTTATCCCTGACTGACCTCTCTTTCTCTCTCTCTTCCTCTCC